AGTAACTACTAGTAAATACCAAGAACTACTAGTAACTACCGACAACTACTAGTAACTACCAGTAACTACTAGTAACTACCAGTAACTACCAGTAACTACTAGTAGCTAACGATAACTACTAGGAACTACTAGTAACTACCAACAACTACCAGTAACTACTAGCAACTACTAGTAACTACCAGTAACTACTAGTAAATCCAAAAACTGCCATCAACTACTAGTAACTACCAGCAACTAATAGTAACTACCAGTAACTAATGACAACTACTAGCAACTACTAGTAACTACCAGTAACTACTAGTAACTACCAATAACTACTAATAACTACCGACAACTACTAGTAACTACCAGTAACTACTAGTAACTACTGACAACTACTAGTAACTACCAGTAACTACTAGTAAATACCAGTAACTACTAGTAAATACCAGTAACTACTAATAACTACCACTAACTACTAGTAACTACCAGTAACTACTAATAACTACCAGTAACTACTTGTAAATACCAAGAACTACTAACTACTAGTAACTACTAGTAACTACCGACAACTACTAGTAACTACCGATAACTACTAGGAACTACTAGTAACTACCAACAACTACCAGTAACTATCAGCAACTACTAGCAACTACCAGTAACTACTAGTAACTACCAGTAACTACTAGTAAATACCAAAAACTACCATCAACTACCGACAACTACTAGCAACTACTAGTAACTACCAGTAACTACTAGTAAATACCAGTAACTACTAAGAACTACCACTAACTACTAGTAACTACCAATAACTACTAATAACTACCAGTAACTACTAGTAAATACCAAGAACTACTATTAACTACTAGTAACTACTAGTAACAACCGACAACTACTGGTAACTACGAGTAACTACTACTAGCTACCAGTAACTACCAGTAACTACTAGTAACTACCGATAACTACTAGGAACTACTAGTAACTACCAACAACTACCAGTAACTACCAGCAACTACTAGTAACTACCAGTAACTACTAGTAAATACCAAAAACTACCATCAACTACTAGTAACTACTAGTAACTACCGACAACTACTAGCAACTACTAGTAACTACCAGTAACTACTAGTAAATACCAGTAACTACTAATAACTACCACTCACTACTAGTAACTACCAGTAACTACTAATAACTACCAGTAACTACTAGTAAATACCAAAAACTACTAGCAACTACCGACAACTACTAGTAACTACCAGTAACTACTAGTAACTACCAGTAACTACCAGTAACTACTAGTAGCTACCGATAACTACTAGGAACTACTAGTAACTACCAACAACTACCAGTAACTACCAGTAACTACTAGTAAATCCAAAAACTGCCATCAACTACTAGTAACTTCTAGTAACTACCAGCAACTAATGGTAACTACCAGTAACTAACGACAACTACTAGCAACTACTAGTAACTACCAGTAACTACTAGTAACTACCAATAACTACTAATAACTACCGACAACTACTAGTAACTACCAGTAACTACTAGTAACTACTGACAACTACTAGTAACTACCAGTAACTACTAGTAAATACCAGTAACTACTAATAACTACCACTAACTACTAGTAACTACCAGTAACTACTAATAACTACCAGTAACTACTAGTAAATACCAAGAACTACTAGTAACTACCGACAACTACTAGTAACTACCAGTAACTACTAGTAACTACCAGGAACTACTAGTAGCTACCGATAACTACTAGGAACTACTAGTAACTACCAACAACTACCAGTAACTACCAGCAACTACTAGTAACTACCAGTAACTACTAGTAAATCCAAAAACTGCCATCAACTACTAGTAACTACTAGTAACTACCAGCAACTAATAGTAACTACCAGTAACTAATGACAACTACTAGCAACTACTAGTAACTACCAGTAACTACTAGTAACTACCAATAACTACTAACAACTATTGACAACTACTAGTAACTACCAGTAACTACTAGTAACTACTGACAACTACTAGTAACTACCAGTAACTACTAGTAAATACCAGTAACTACTAATAACTACCACTAACTACTAGTAACTACCAGTAACTACTAATAACTACCAGTAACTACTAGTAAATACCAAGAACTACTAGTAACTACCGACAACTACTAGTAACTACCAGTAACTACTAGTAACTACCATTAACTACCAGTAACTACTAGTAACTACCGATAACTGCTAGGAACTACTAGTAACTACCAACAACTACTATTAACTACCGACAACTACTAGTAACTACCACTAACTACCAGTAACTACTAATAACTACCACTAACTACTAGTAACTACTGGTAACTACAAGTAACTACTAGTAACTACCACTAGCTATTAGGGAGAAGACACAATACTACATATTACACAGAGTGTATATTACCGGTGCACTTGTGGCTTTGTACCATGAAGTATATACCGATCAAATTCTGATATTTGCATTTTGCACTGTAAAGCAACTTTGTTGTGATTTAACAAAATCAAAATTCTTTATCAGGAAAAATAGTATTTTGTTAAATTTTTTAACATTTTCTTTTAGTTTGTTTTTAAGTCTTTTTTTATTGGCAGAAAATTCCTATATTTCCCTATATTTTAAACTTGGACAGCTTATTTTTCCCATTAGTTTTTCCAAAAAGTGGCGGGGATGCCTCAGTGATTTTGTCATAACTTTGACACTTCTAAAGTCGTAAAGTTGAATGGCTACAGTAAGTACAGGCTATAAAAATTACAGTACCTGAACAGTTTTTACCATCTCCAATAAAACCAGGCATGCAATGACAAGTAAATGATCCAATCGTGTTTTCGCAGCTCCCCAACTCCAGGTTACAATCATGTGTTCCATTGTCACACTCATTCACATCTAGAATGCACATTAATTTTGAATTTACAACTGGCTATGGCCCTTCTTGCAGTAGTGATACTGGATGGTTTCGCCCCATGTAAGGGAATCCAGATTCCGGAATCCGGGAAAATTTTGCTTATGGAATCAGGAATGCAGCTCAAGGAATCCGGAATCCTACTAACGATTGTAATTCACAATCCAAGTTTTACTGACAAATACTAGAATCCAATACCTCGAATCCGGAATCCGCAGTGTGAAATCCAGAATCTAAGACTGTCCTGGATTCCCTTACATGGGGCAAATGGTTTCTCGCCATCTGACTGAATTTTTACCATCAATAAAAATTATGATTTATACGCCATTATTATTTTCTATTTCGTTTTCCTGTCACTAACTCAAATCAATTTTTAAGACGTTAACTGGAAAATGTGTTATTTCCAGGAATTCCAGTTAACCCTACTTTGCACATGGGTAGGTAAATAAATGATGAAATATCCCTTGCTGTGACCGTGGCCCAGCTTAGGAGCAGTAAGCATTAGTTCTAGACCCGAGCATGACGACTGATAAACATATTCTACTTCAACTGCTTCAAGAGCAGATATTGAATGATGACATATTTTGAATGTAACCTGACTATCTGTCAGGTGCGTGTGTATCAAAAAACGAGAATAAATGCCCTGGGATATCCCGTGAAACCATAAAAAAAGACAAAAAACAAAACAGTCATGTCCAACAACGCATCCCAAGGAATAATAAACAAATAATCAAATAACATTTTACAATAACTGAGTGAATCCTCGCGCGCTGAATAGTCGAGAGCTATGGTCTATGAGAGTACAGACGGTGGAAATGACGTAACATTTTTCGAGAATCTTCGCAGGAAACTAAAAATAAGTGTTATTGTCAAAAAAAAATCGACCACAATTTTTCACGTTCCACACTCTTATAGACCATAGGAATGACGCCATAAGATGTTCAAAACTTTGCAGTGAAATCACTCGCCCGCGGCTCGTGGTTCCACTTGAGTTGTGAACACTTTATGACGTCATTTCTATGGTCTGTAAGAGTGTAGACCATGAAAAATTGTGGTCGATTTGTTAAATAGAAATTTATTAAATGATTTATGATAATGATTAATTGGTTGATTAATAAGAGCTAATAATTATATTTACTGAAGAATCCAGTTATTCCCTACAAGTTCCTAGCATGAGCATTTTTGCAAGATTTTTCAATTCTCTCTCACCTTCACACCAAGTCCCATTTCCTATGTATCCCCTCATACAATGACAAGAAAATGAACCAAAATTGTTTGTGCAGATACCACCAAATTGATGGCAGTCATGTCCACTATTTTCGCACTCATTCAAATCTGCGTACAAAAAAAGATCAAAGTCGGTTTTGTTAACCACTGACCAATATCACATGACCGCTTCGCGGGCTCAGGTTACGAGCTATCGATGACGTATTTTTTACGTTTTCCGCTGACAAGCTTCTATCCTTTAACGGATTGCATGCTCAACTCGAAAAGGATTTCTTTGCAATGATAATTTACAATTTAATCGTTTGAAGTAAATTATAAATTTAATTTATTAACGGGAACTCCGCCTTTAGCCTTGGCTAAATTTAAATTCTCTATTTGAGTAAGGCAGTATTTCTTATAGCGGAACGTGTGGGATACTATTTAGTTAATTGCTCATCGAAGTAATTGGGTTGTGACGTAATTGACCGCTCTTAAATCTGCCACTACATGTAGGTATGTGAAATGCTACTCTTAATATGAAGTTTACAAACTTTTCTGTATTTATCTTATTTGAAAATGATAGCTGGTGAGAAATAGAACAAATGTAAAAAAATAACAGGTAATTTGAGGCCTGCAGTGCGCATGTTACAGATCTAACAATAATTTAAAAGTTTCAAAAATCTCTAAGGACCCGAGTAGGAAGTTTTTACATTTTTTACCATATAAATCCGGTTCTGTTAAATAGCCTGAACATCTCATAGGTTGCTGCATGGCTCTACTAAGTTTTCATGTTGAAGAAAGGGCTTAGGAAATGATAGAGAAATTAGACTATATTTATTTTTTTGTAAATTTTGCACGCATCCCAGACCTCCTATATTTCCTATCATACATTGACAAGAAAATGAACCAAAGTTGTTTGTGCAGATACCCTGCTGGTGGCAGTTAGGGACATTACTTGTGCACTCATCCACATCTGTCAAAAGTCAATCAAAAGTCCAAACTTTATATATTGGTTTATCAGCTTAATCTTTGTATTTGATAAAAGGACATCTCCCATGACGTATTTTAGTAGCCCAGTTCAATAGTTAAATAACTTCAAATTTTTCAATTGATTTTTTACTTGTTTTAGATAGTTAATAGTTTTTTTTAAATTGTATCTATTAATGTTAATTTTTATCTTTTTATAATGACAGTGTAAAACTATTTTAATATTGGATTTTATGTTTTATAGGGGCCACAAGTTTATCAGTTTTACCATAACTGTCACATGATATGCTTACCCTCTTTAAAAAAAGGCGTTACCTTACCTTACCTTACCTTACCTAGGTCTAATATAAGAGTAAGAATATAAGATTTTACTGGAATTACTGGACACTTTTTATCCAACATGTTAAAGAATAGTCATTACGGTTGAAATTTGATGAATGAATATATTTCAGTATCTACAGTGTTAGCCCCTTTCACATAATACACCCTGTACCCTATCGCTTAAATTTTCTAATAATTTTGACCCTTCTTAAATTCGATGGCCAAAGTAAGCTACGGATCGGGAATTACTTTACCTGAACAATTTTTACCATCTCCAGTAAATCCAGGCTTGCAGTGACAAGTGTACGATCCTACCGTGTTTTCACAGGTCCCAAACTCCGGGTAACAATCATTTGCTCCATTTTCACACTCATTAACATCTATAAGACATATTCAATAACTGAGTGATTTCTCTCGCACTTACATCACAAGAACGAGTAATTAATGCATTTTTTAAAAAAATTAAATAGATTTAGGTTGGACAAGTAAGGTTAGTTTACTTTACCTTTCTTAATAAATAAATCAAGCAAACCTTCAGGATTTGGGCCCTGTCCACCCCAATGCGTTTCCATATATTTCGATGTGTTTAGGCCTTTCGCACACCGTATCGATTTGAAAATCTTGAAAGTGGATCAAAACCGAAACACATTCACATCGCCCTATCAACCTAATAAAGATGACCTAAAATATCGGAGGCGTGTTAATGTTTGTAGCGCGTGCGTAGAGTTTAACTTACATGTACGTCACAACATTAGTACTGTCGTTTTCGAACGTTTTAGTTTGGGAAGTCAAAAACGCATCAAAACGGTAGTGTGGACGCGAATCGATCGATGCGTTTTCAATGACAACGAAAACGCATACTATTGAAAACGCATTAGTGTGGACATGGCGTTTGATGTTACCTTTGCAATTTCCAGGAATTCCAGTAAACCCTACTTTGCATGGACAAGTGTAGTTACGTTCTCCGACCCCCGGTTCTTTCTTGCAAGTAGAATATGATAAATTACAATGGTGGCGTCCTGAGTCACACGGGTGATGAACTGCCGCGAAAAAAATAACCGGCATGGTTTACAAGGGAGCAAAAGCACTTTATTGAGGCTGGTTGAAAATTAATGAAGTTTTTTGTTTAGCCGTTAATCGTCAATGTACTGGAGTAAATCAGTTCTCTGATCTTTAGGATTTGCTTATAAGTAGTCTGCGTAGCTGGCGGTATTGTAGCGGCTCCGCTGCCACATCTCACTCGACTAGTACACAATACCGCCAGCTACGCAGGCTACTTATAACACAGAGGACCAAACCGTGGGCGTTTATTTGCAGGAAGTCGACATTTTGTCATTGACAACATAGTAGGGACCTTATGAGCAACCACGACGACGAAAAGAACTCGGATCGTTACACGTTTCCGAGAAACTGCCCACCTACCCCTCCCCTAAGCCAGCATTAACACTTAGTTCTCACTTAGGGCAAAATGTTGGTAAAGGGGAGGGGTGGGTGGGCAGTCTCCCCAGAAACGTATTATGATCAATTATTCTAAAGATCGCACTAGTTTTAGTTTAGACCTCAATTTTTAGACCAGGTTTTAGATCCATGGCTTACCAACCTGACAAATTTTTGATCTTTATACTCTTTAAATAAACAAAGGACAGTGTATTACTGTAAGAACTGGATATAAAATATATTATTATTCATTCAAAATACTGCTCCAATTCTGATTGGCTAAAAGCACACGCATAATTCACCATAACCAGTTACTGATGACCAGATTTCAAAGAACGTTGTGTTTAACGAAATGACGTAAAAAATGCAGCCCGCTACAGGTTAAGGCACCGTTACCGAGAAGACCTGGTGACGAGGTTGAGTTGTTTTGGTTGTGAAAATAAAAATGGCGGACACTTCACTCGTTTCAAGAGTAAGAACTACAGCTGGAACTAGGCGAAATAATAGCTAAAGACATAGCAAAAACAACAAGAAGACAACTCCGAGGCAAGAGTACATTTTAGCTGTCACTACACACTTTTCTTTTGCTATAAGAATATATTTCATAAGAATACTGGGGCTGAAATGTGCGTAATTTTAAAACTATTTTAACAGTAAACCAGGGGCGGAAAATTAAAAGGGATATAATTGTTTGTGTTGAAAATCTGTCAATACAATACGATTTACCTTCAAAACTTCACAGTACAAAATTCCTTTCAATAAACGGCAAGAACGCTGGTACTTGAAACCCTGCACACATCCCAGACCTCCTATATTTCCTATTCATCCTATAATTTGTATAGGATCCTATAAACAGCCTATATTTCAAGAAATCCTCCTATATTTCCTATAAATAGAACATACTCTGATGTCAGCATTTTGCACTGTGAAGCAAATTTTTTTAAATTCTTTTAATTGTTATTATTATAATTTTTGAATGTTTTTTTTTTCTATAAATAGTCTATGTATTGGCAGAAAATTCCCATACTTTCCTATGTTTTGAGCTTGGACAGCCTATTTTTCCCATTAGTTTTTCCAAAAAGTGGCTGGGATGCCTCAGTGAGTTTGTTATAACTTTGACACTTTTAAAGTCGTTAAGTTGAATGGCTACAGTAAGTAGTGGCTGGGAAAATTACAGTACCTGAACAGATTTTACCATCTCCAATAAAACCAGGCTTGCAATGACAAGTAAATGATCCAATCGTGTTTTTACAGATCGCCAACTCCGGGTTACAATCATGTGTTGCATTGTTACACTCATTCACATCTAGAATGCACATTTTAAAATTGTAAAATTTACAACTAGCTATGGCCCTTCTTAAGGTAGTTATACTGAATGGTTTCTCGCGATTTGATACAAATAAATCGAACCAGCCTTGCTTAACTGTTACCTGTGCAGTTTCCAGGATGTCCAGTAAACCCTCTTTTGCACGGACAAGAGTAGGTATCCCCGGTTTCCTTGCACGTGGAACGAAACAAATCACATTGGTGAAGCCTTGAGCGACAAGGGTGGGGGACTGCCAAAAAAAAGCATGTGTTTTCAATTTAGGGTTTTGGTGGCTTGTAAATGTTATAATGGTAGTAGTTGAAACTAATGAAATTGTGCACTTAGCTTAATATCCAGTTTAGAATTTTATAATATATTTATAGGCACTCCACTAAAAAGAAATGTTCAAATCGAACACAACAGGATTAGAAACCCCACTGAACTATATATATATATATATATATATATACATAAAATTAGATACAACAACAAACAACAACAACAACAACAAGTAACAACAACAAGTTTTACAAAAGTGCACTAGCCCTCAGATGGCTAGTGCTAATCTTAGCGGGCCAGTCAATTTAAGTGTAGGGAATGCTTAATTTTTATTCTTTATGTACATGTTTGTCTATATGTGATACAGTGTGGAAATATTATGAACTGAGAATTTACAGTTTATTAATTTATCTGCAGTAATTAGTAAAGTTTAGCGGAAAACGCTGGTATCCGATAGTAAGAAAATTGTATATGAATATCAAGGCTGAAATCGGCGAAATGTTAAGAATATTTTAAGAAAATTTTAATAATAAACCCAAGACTGAGATTTTGAAAAGGACAAAATTTAGTGTGTTGAAAGTCTGTTAATACAATACAATTGTATGTTGTTAACCTAAACGTATGATTATGTCTTTCTCTACTAAAGAACGGTAAACCTAGCTAACAAAACGAAAAAATCTTGGGCTGACTGAAATTATGCACCAATAGCTCACTTCGGAAGAGATTACCTGGGACCCAAACCAAGCGCTCGCGCATTTGTGGGATTGTTCGGGGTGGGGGGGGGGGGGTCAAATCGAGCAGCCATTTTGAATTATGACGAGACGTGCAATTTGTTGTGTGCCTTTGTGCACAAATAACTTCAGGAACTCCCCTAGTTTGACATTTAATACAATATCAAAGGCAAGACGTATTCAGCTACATGCGTTTATTTTCTTTCCGGTTGTTTTGGCTCCACGGCAAAGAAGCCATCTCTGCAGCTCTTTCACGGTGCATTCTTCTGGTTTTTCTCGATGTGAGATCAGGCACATCTTCTTTCCTCAGCTTCACATTTTGGTTTTTTGATTTGTTTGTTTCAGTTCCACCTTCCGTTTTGATATTTTGAGCTGTTTTAACCCCGCTGAAACATTCCGCTTCGCTTTCTGCCATGTTTGTTTACATTCGCGCCCCCTCAAATAATCCCATAAATTCCCGCGCGCCTAGTTTAGGCCCCAAGCTATCAATCTTTTCCGAAGTGAGCTACATATTCTAAAACGGAAAAGTGGTAAGCTACAACTCAAGAGAAAACGAGAATCCTGAGCTTTGTGTTTGTCTTAACTTTCGCGGGAAAAATCTAAACGCGGTCAAATTTTTGACATCAATGACCACATCTTCAAAACAGCAAGTCATGTCATATGGAAACAACTGCTTAAAGATTGTGAAATCGTCACCTAAATTAATTCCAGAATGCATTTTCAGTAATCTTTAGCTTTTGAATAGCTGTATTTCACTTAATTCTTACAGATCCTGATATGTATTTTCATCTTAATAAAGATTTGAGATTGTAAGACTGCTAGGGCTGAAGAAAAAATCCCAGCTATGCAACAATTCAACTTATACCATCGAATCGATGGTATATTGCTCGCATCTTCCACATTCCAGTTATTTCGAGAAAGGTTGTCAGAAAAAGTGCACGCGACAATCCCGAAAGGTATAGCCAGTGTAGCTTGCGGGATTCTTCTACCAGGGGTACTTTTTTGACTTGTATGCCCTCCCTTCTCGTGGCTCCGCCGCCAAACCAACACAGCATTCCCGCGCTAATGCCGCCAGCTACGCAGGCTACGAAAGGTATTTTGGACGGTTTTTAGTCCACTGTTCTTCAAAGAAATTTGAAAGAATGGCACGAGAGGCCATGGACGTATGTTTGCTATTGCTGAAGGAAAACAACAAAAGTAGGTTCGACAGCTTCAGTGTCAGGAACAGTGTATTTATCATACCCATATTACCTTTCGGGATTGTCGCTTGCACATTTTTTTCCGACAACCTTTCTCAAAATAGCTGTATGGTAAGCGCCAGCTGGTTATGAAGAATTAGGCGGGGCTTGGAGCCAATCAAAACTGGCGAAATATTTTGATTGAACAATAAGTTATTTCGTTCAACAGGCCCCGGTTCCCGTGAAAGCCCGATTAGCGCTAAGCCAGGGTTAAAATTTTTGTTCCATTTTTGTATCTTACCTTTATATGCATTGCCTAGAGTAACATTCTATATTTTCATCACTAAACCTCGGAGTAAATATACAACAAGTATTTTGTACGTTCCAGGGACATGTTATGACAAGAAGACCTTACTAAACATTTGGCTTAATCCTGGGTTAAACTTAACCATCTATTCAAGGACCGGGGTCACTGAGGAGATCAGACTTACCCCTTTCAGCACAGATGCGATAGTTACAGCTCAGATTAGCAGTGAAATTAAGCAGCCTGTAAACAAAAAACGCCTTGCAATTTGATACAGACACTTCCAAAACATCACTGAGACATTTGCTTCCCAATCGAAAGTATATTTGGCGCCTAACCGTCCTGTGCACCTTCGGATGCCCATGCCTGTACAACGAGCCCGGTGTATTTGTATTACAGGCGTTTTGCGGTGGGCAACTGTAACCCTGCGGAATCCACAAGTCACCATTGTCACTTATAAAACGAATCCATGACCTCTCAAGGAGCCAGGTCTGGTCTTTATCACAAAGAGTTATACCCGTTTCAGTAGAATAAGCTTGGACTGATCGAGACGCATTTGACGTTACATTTATGTAGTTATTACATCCTATAAACAAAGATAAAAAAGGTAAATTAGTTATTACTTTGTTTTCCTTTTCCTCAAGTACAACGATTCATTCGAATAGGGGAAACCCTTACCCCATAAAATGAGTATATTGCAAAGTAACGATTTGCCTGCTGCTAGTAATTTAGATTAATTTAATATTAGGCCAGATCTTAGCTATAGGTTGGCTTTGTTCACATTATGCCGGATAGACCTTATGCCGGCACGAAAACCACGCCGAATGGATCTTCTGTTTGCACATAAGAAGTTACCTATTTGGGTAAATGATTTTGGGAAAATTAATCATTCACGGATTAAACATGTATTCAACGAGAAGAAAGAAAATCCATTCTCCTATTCTGAGTGATTGACTTCATCGCCTCTTGGCGGTTGTTTGTTAGCGTCTCGAACGAGTGCGAACATCAAAGAATTGAAAAGGGAACTAAAAAATACCCCACACTTCAAAAGCAATACCCTAGTGTGGAGGGGGGGGATCTCAACAAATATTTTTGCTGGGGGCTCTGCCCCGAGGTTCAGCCACTTAACCTTTATATACCATTTTTGATTTTAAAAAATGTACCTTTTTTAGCTTAACTTTCAGGCAACTTTTGCCACTTGAAGCAACTTTCTATTTTAGGGGCAACTTGGTTAAATTTTGAGCAACTTTTGGCAAGTAAAAAGCTCTATAATACCGTTGTTTAATTAATTACCTCTGGTTGTATATTCTTGTGAGAAAATTTCAGTTCTCAACCTTGTGTCCCATGCCACCCCCCTATCCGGTTTGCCTCAATCAATATTTGTCTGTGTGAAATGTCATTTACGTTGAGTTGTAGTAAACTTGAACGTCACCCGCAGTAGATGCGTTTAATAAAAAGGGCAAAAGGCAGTAGTTTGAAAATGCATTAGTGTACTTCACCAGAGGCACCTTGTCTTGTGAAAAAAAGGCAAAAATGGCTGTACATGTATTAACTAGCAAATTTGAAACAAATTTTCAGAAAAGTCGAACACCTTCAGGCAACTTTTGAAAAATTTTTGAGCCGAGTTTAAGAAAGTTTGGAGCACCTGGTGGCTGAGGGTAATAGGGAGTACAACCTGCAGGGGAAAATGCCTAATCAACAATGGTTTCCACACGACCAAGAAACATCCAAGTGCTCCTGTGGCTGGCTTTCCAACAGAACGTCAATGTTAGAGCACACAGGTCAAATTAATCTTGGGTTTGCAAATATATCTTTAATTTTTTTTTCCGTTTTGACCTATATTCCGATGAGTTGAAACAAAAGACAAACATTAACAACGCTGGCCACAGATTAAGGTATTGATTCACAGTCCTCCCAATAAATGAAAACAAAGTGAACTGCATCTGGCCTATCCTGGGATACATAAAAAGTCTTGGAAAAATAATGAGAAATTCAATAGGTATACTTTAATATTTCAAATCAAATCAAATACCTTGCCGGCATAAAATTGGCGTCGAAATCAGCACTATAGCGTGCAATATCTGAGGAGAGATAGCAAAAGCTAAATATTATTCATTTGAATTCATATTGTATTAGAACAAAACATCTATAATCCCTTATTTAACAAATTTCCTTTTTATGTTTAATAAACACGTCAGTCCAGGATCTTCATCTTTGAAGGAGGTGGGGATTGGTAGAAGAAAAACTGAAAGCTACACTGTTTATGAAACAAAGAGTTACTTTTTTAATTTTCAAGCATAAGGGTTTAATTTGAGCTGATAATTAAAAGTCATATTTTTAATTTAGCAAATTCCAACTAGTGATCTATTACTAATGCTGCATTCTGATTGGTTGAGCTACTACTAGGCTATATTTATAGCCCACTGGTAGCGAAAAGCGCCGACTTTGAAAACCAAAACATCGGCGGCTGAGTTGCGTTTTGCTAGCTAAAGTTGTTTTGTCTCGATATTTTTGACCAACTAGTTGGATTTTACTAAAACAATTATTCCTCTCGCCATCAGGCCTTTGAGTCAATAGCCCATTCGGCCTTCGGCCTCGTTGGCTATTGACTCAGAGCCTATTTGGACTCGAGGAATAATTTTTAATTAGCCAGCGAAAACAGCCTTCTCTTCTCATTGCTCGCTGCTATACACGTGACACGTTTCGCGAGAACTTGTGCCGAGGAGCGAGAAGAGATAGCCTGTGTACCAGGCGTAAGAGAGGTGAGGGACTGGGACGAAGGGACAAGGTAGGAAGATTGCATTGGGTAGAGAGGGCTTGGGAAGGACAAGCCTCCCTTCCCTTTTCACTTTTGCGCTTGCCTCCCTCTCCCCCTTGTTCTCCCCCTCCCCCACCCTAAGGAGAGACGGCTGTATTCGCAGGCTAATATAACGTGGAAATTTAAAAATTGTAAAACTGACGCTGTTGTTATAAGAATCTTAACCGACGTTTCGGCAATGCTGCCTTCTTCAGGGTTTTCAATAGTGTTGTATACCCTGAAGAAGGCAGCATTGCCGAAACGTCGGTTAAGATTCTTATAATAACAGCGTCAATTTTACAATTTTTACATTTACATTAAGTACTACGCTGCGCAGGTTTTTTAATCTTTATACACTAATATAACGTGGACTGAAAGCCCATTTCAAACTTAGTGTTTCCAGCTGTTAGCTCCTTCAAATACTTGTATTGCGGGAGGTAACTCTAATAAAAATATCATAGAATAACCCGCTCTACTGAGTGTTTTATTGATGTCTAGTGAACAACCTCTTGCGAGGTTTAAAGTTTTCTTAAACGCGCCAATCTGACAAATCTGTAAAATCAACTCTCATGTCTAGCAAAGAGCACAGGTGAAACTTTTTTTTTTGGTCAAAACACCTGCTGCAAATAAGGGAGATACGTCTTCAATTTTTTTTTTTTTTTTTTTTTTGGGCGAGGAAGCTTAACTATCCAGCCTAAAAATCCCTGGCGGCGACTACTCTCAGTTATCTTTTTTGGTGTGCTTTTTTTGTTGTTGTTGTTTCTTTTCGCCTTTTTTCTTTTCTTTCACAGCAATCACCAAAGGTATCGACAACAACCCATTTGAGGCAAAAAAATCTAAAAAATTGGCCTTAGTACCGAACCGCAATGTAGCGATTCGTTTTTTGTAAAGTGTGGTTTTGTTCTTGAATTCGGCGGGGACTTTTTTTGAAGCGTTTTTACCTCTCACAGTTCAAGAAAATGCTTTTTTTCACAGGCAAAGAGTATTCCAAGTCGATATAACAAACTTATATTTCTTTGACTTAAATGATCATAAATGGTGCATACTTGTGCCGGACGATATAGATCATGCATAAGATTGTGAAAGCGGTAGATACTAACATATATAAAATGCTTCACTTCACTCGGTCCCCAATTCATCCCGCCTAATACACCTCACTTTAAAAAAGCAATCTGCTCACAAAGCGATACAAACAAATTGCAAAAGTCGAGAATCCGTAGAAGATGTGAGATATTTTCGTAGCTGGGGAGAATAAACGGACTTCGAATCACTTTTGATTGGTTTTTAAGAGAAAACATGATAAAGGAAATTAATTTTTAATTTGAAAGCGGGTATAGAAACGTCACTTATCATCTTAAGGTCATCAATGCGCTTTAAATTTTCTTTTCAATAGTTTTGCCATTCTCAGTGTTTTTTTCATTTGCAAGCAAAAAACAGTCACAGTAAGCATAAAGAAAATATTTTCCAGAAAAGAAAACAAACAAACCAAAACAAAAACTTGCAGGTGCAGAACTAAGGAAGTTTCGGTATTTGAAAATTGGTGTTCAGTTAAAACATTATTTGAAAAATCTGAAATATTGTTTTAGATTTTTAAAAGGAGACTTGGCGATACGAAAAACAACGACTGCTTTAAAATTCGTTTCGAATTTTAGCAAAGAGATTTGCATAACAATAACGCCTTTGAAATGCTTAAGACTTCATTTATATAGCTTACATAAAACATTTTTATATCAAAAGTTCTAGAAAAATCACACCATGTTAATTATTGATATGTGTGGGAGATTACTGCTCGGATCAAGTGTGTCTTGGAGTGGTACAATATAGCTGCTATCATATCACGACCCCACTGCCAGTCAAATGCCTATTGTTTAAGAAGCCTATTTGCCTCATTTCCTTCGAGGTGCTTAGCACACTTATTTCATAAACAATAACCAGTAACAATACATGCTTAGCCTAACTGAAAAAGGTTTAGTCATGACTGACAGGGGCAAGTAAAATATAAAATTTTTATTTTTTTTTATTTTTTTATTTTATTTATTTTGCCTTACAGACATATATTAAATGTTTACAGTACTAAACACTACTGAAACTAAATACTACTAACAATATTCACTATACTTGCACTATTTACAATATTGGCTATACTGACAGTACCATCCATACGATGCTCGTACTACTAATAATTACAATGGTTACACTACTTACAATTCTAGTACATCACACACACACACACCCCCACACAAACACACACACACACACAAAAAAAAAAAAAAAAAAAAAAAAGGTCAGTTACTTTTCATGTCTATTTTATAGCTTTTCAATTCTGTATTTAATTATCATTTTACCAACGAAGTCTTGGAGAATTGGTTTGTTGTGTAGTTTGTTGGCGTAGATGTAGTATCTCATAAACAACATGGTATAATTGAATTTCCTTACTAGTACCTTTTCATGTAAGTCCGAGAGGATGCCGAACAGTCTTTCTTCGCTAGATGGGTTGAGATTGATCTTGTTTTCTATATTGAACCAGTTGATAACCCGTTGAATGAAAATCTTGACGAAATGACAATCTCTAAAAGTATGATTAATAGAGTCTTTTTCACCACAATATATACATTCATCATCTTCCTTGATTCCATAGCGGTAAAGTTCCTTTTTGGTGACTACAATTCGGTGGATTAATTTATATTGAAATTCCTTTAATTTGGTCTGTCTACAGACGGTTTTTAGGGAGGTGAATATTTTTTTCCCATTTATCTTCATCCAAGGAAAGATCTTTGCTCCATCTCTGTGGCCCAGAAATGACCTGTTGTGTGGATTTTTGTGCATAATAACGTATAGAAGTCGCTAGTCTTGATTTTGTTCAGATATAGAGTTATCGATTCATTTAATTGTAGACTAAGATTATTATCAGAATATAACTCTTTATTAATTGGCTTCGTTGATTTTGCTTTGGCTAATAGGTGCTTTGGGATAGCGCTAATAACTTGATAGTATTGAAGGAAGTTAGTTTTACAGGAATACTTATTCGTAAATTCCTGATAGGTCATCGGTTGACCGGTATTGTGTAAGAGATCTTGTATTGACAGGATACCTTTTTTAAACCATTCCCTGATAAAAAAGGTTTTACTGTCAACAAGTATTTCTTTGTTGTTGAATAGAATTATATTTTGTGCTTGATCAAAGCTGTACAGAGTTTTTAATTCACTGAAGTATACTAGAATATTTCGGTAAAACAATGGAATAGATTTTATGTATTTCGCATCGTAGTTACATCTCAGTAAAAAGTTCAAACCTCCGAATTTTCTTAGGTAATAATCAGGAACTGTTTTCCAATTCTGGTTCCCTGGAGTCAGTAATCTTGGAATCCAGGCTAGTTTTAGAGCTTTAAACATTATGTCGATGTCTACCATACGTATTCCGCCTCTTCCCAGATCCTGATAGAGCCCAGTTCGTTTAATTTTATCCCTTTTGTTTTTCCATAAGAAACTAAAAAACTTTGTTTTCACTGTGCTTGCGATATCTTCGGGAACATTAAGAATTGAAGCTGAATAAATTAATTGTGACAATCCTAGGGACTTAATTATCAGTACCTTCCCAAATAGTGTGAGGTCTCTAGATCTCCACATATCCAGCTTTGTTTGAAGTTTTCGTATTTTCAGATTAAAGTTCAATTCATTGTTACCCTTCTCATCATAAGAGACATGAATTCCTAAGAGGCGAGCCGGACTATGTAACCATTTTAGTTGTAAAGGATTTTGTTTTTTTCCCATTTTCCCAACCAAATTGCTTTCGATTTCTTTATGTTTAACTTGAGACCCGCTAGCCTCCCAAAATCTCCCACCGTTTTCAAAGCATTTTCAACGGAGATCAAATCTGCACAGAAAAGGTTTGTGTCGTCTGCGAATTGGCTCAATTTGATTTCGTGCCCGAATATTTTGATTCCTGTTATACTTGGTTCTTGTCTGATTTTGCTGGATAATATCTCCGTGGAAAGCACAAATAAGTACGGAGAAAGGGGACACCCCTGTCGCACTCCTCTTGACGGTCTAAACCAGTTGGTCATGAAACCATTGTTTATCGCCGCGCTCTCAATTTTTGTATAGAATGTACTGATCCATCTTTTTATACTTGTTCCGAAATTGAATATATCCAGTGCTTTCATCATGAACGACCATTCTAGAGAATCAAAAGCTTTCCGAAAATCTAGAGATACTAGAATGCCAGGTATGCTTTCTGACTTCGTATGTTCCATTATGTCGATTATTAGCCTAATATTTTCCCCGA